GAGAATCCCTCTTACCACGCTCTTAGGTCAGCCTTCAGGCCAGGGTTTATTTCATTTTATTTTATTTTATTTAAACATTTATACCCCGCCCTCCCCGCAAGCGGGCTCAGGGCGGCTTACAAGGGGCATATGCCCATATATAAAACAAGATAAAACAATAAAATCATAAATAATAACAACAATAACAATAATAATTTAAATTCTGGCAGATACGGAGATGCTTCTGCGCTGTGCTGAAAGTCAGGATCCTGTTAGACGAGACAGAATACACAGCACGGCGCAGTGGTTAAAAGAGCCGGACTGCTTCTCCTCCCCATGAGGCCTGCTGGGTGACCTAGGGCCACTCACCGTTCTCCCAGAACTCTCTCGGCCCCGCCTACCTCACAAGGTGTCTGTTGTGGGGAGGGGAAGGGAAAGGTGATTTTTAAGACACTTTGAGACTCCATCAGGTAGAGAAAAGCAGGGCATAAAGGCCTACTCTTCTTCCTCTTCCACAACCCGTATTGTCTGGCTGTTTCCCACAAACTCATGTTTGCTTTCTGTCCCTATAAGCGGGGCAGGTCTCACCCCTCCCCAGGGCTTTTTTTGTAGAAAAAGCCCAGCAGGAACTCATTAGCATAATTGGCCACACCCAACAGCAGAAACGTATTATCTTATTAGGCCACACCCCTGACAGCACAGGTCATTAGCATATGAGGCCACACCCCTGTGTTACCAGAAGTGTGCTCATTCAGCCACACCCACCTTTTGCTTCTTATTCTGTTTACCTTGTCTGTTGTCCAAACCCAGGGCTTTTTTTGTAGCAGGAACTCCTTTGCATGTTAGGCCACACACCCCTCATGTAGCCAATCCTAATGAGTTTCTGCTGTTGGGTGTGGCCTAATATGCTAATGAGCTCCTGCTGGGCGTGGCCAACTCAGGAGCCAGCCGGAACTCCCTTCCTGTGCGTTCCTGCCCAAAAATAGCCCTGCCCCTCCCCAGAAAACAAAGAAGCAGAATGCTGAAATGGCAACGAGTTCTGAAGCAGAGACAGGAAATGCACCACTTTCACTTTCTACTTGTCGTTGGCTGAACTGGCTTGAAGGACCAAGAGTCCGCCTTCCATGTCAACTGACCTCTGTCGCTTGGGGATCAGTTGCAGTCCCAGGAGATCTCCAGCCACCACCTGGAGGCTGGCAACCCCAGAAGTGAAATGAAGCATGAAGGCTACCACCATAAGGACACAAGCACCCCCTCCCGACCCCTGTGCATTTCTACTCCATGGGATACTCTCCTTTCTGTCCTCTGTGATAACAGTCGGAAGCAGCCGTTGCGAACGCCCCGGGGCCTCTTCCTCCATTATTAACAGGAGAATGAAAGGCTGAGGACACGTCAGATAATGGCTCACAGGCTGCATTCAGTATTTTAATAAGTCATAAATCACAAACCAGGGCTGTGTGATGACCTAGGAAGGTAAAGTCTTGGCTTACGTTGCTGTCCTTTGCAAAAAAAGAAAAGTCGACAATGAGCCGCCTTGACAAGTTACCCTTTGAGCCTTTGGTGATGCCTCTTCATTGCCAGCAGCCGTTAGGTGGGAATGGGCCATTGTCATGCTGGCTGGTTCACTCGATTGGCTCGTGGTCATGTTGAACGTAAGTTGTTACTTATAGGAAAAGAAGCTACCTTGAACAACTGATTAGGACGAGTTCTGTAGTGTGGTAATATCCCTACAGCTCTCTCTTGCACAACCTGACCTTTTGAGTATGTTGGAAAACGTTTCTTCACTGTGTGAAGAAGTACACACCCAATGAAGATAGGATTTTTCACCCCAAAGTAGAACAAAATCCAAGTTCGGTAGCACCTTAAAAGACCAGCAATTTATTTTCCCCCAGGGCATGAACTGAGTCATGAGTCAAAGCTCCCTTCTCTGATAAAGTGAGCTTTGGCTGTGGTCACACACACTAAACAATCCACTTGCAATGCACTTTCAAATTGCGTTTTGCCAGTTCACACAGTAAAAATTCAGTTGGAAAGTGCATTGAAAGTGGATTGTTTAGTGTGTGTGACCACAGCCTTTGACTAGCAAAATCTTAGAAACCCCCCCCCCAAGGAGGGGGGCTTCATCATTAAGACGCTGCTGGACTCGAATTTGGTTCTGCCGCTACAGACTAACCCAGTTGCCCACCTTAAACTACCACCCCCAAATGCATCGCTTCATACTTACATTCAGCTTTGATTGCTGTGTGGTCAGCCAGCTATTTAGGCTGGACAGGTCCTCCAGCAGTTCCTCACAATCCACACTGATTCTCATCATTCTGAATACTTTGGTGTCATCGACAAGCCTGGCCACTTTCCTATTCATTCACAATTCCAGATCACTTCCTTACTAACACTTCCCACTGATGTACCTGGAACAGAGGTTAAGCTAACTGGCCTATCATTTCCCGTATCTTCTTTGGACACACACACCCCTTTTAACAGCATTACACCGTGACCTTCTAATCATCAGTGAACCTGATTCTAGCAGCTAGATGTATAATTCTGCTACAAGATTAGTAATTTGGCTTTCATGTTTCCTAAGAGCCTCTGGGCATATGCCATTCCAATCTGGTGGCTATTTAGTTTTTAATTTGTCTCTCTGCCCTAGAACGTCATCCTTCATCACCTCTGTTTGACTCTGTTCTGACGCCTTCCCCCCAAAACATGCCGACGAGCTCCTGTATTCACTTGATTGGATGTCGCACTCACCTTAAAGATAACAGCGTCTGTTCCTTGCAGCAAGAGAGTTATCTTGAACTGCTTATTAGTATGTTGGGCTGAGCCGAGCTGTGATACACCCTCAGCTCTCCGTGGCATCACCTGACCTTTAGACTTCATGGGAAAAATGTCCTTCCCCAGGGTAGACAAACCCACCTACTGAGGAAAATTCTTCCAGAGACTTTGGCCCAGGAAAGTTTATGTCATTGTACATGGGTCAGTCTTAAAGATGCCGAAGATGCTTGCTGCTACATCACTCTAGGTGTGTCTAGGTCAGGGGTGTCAAACATGCGGTCCGGGGACCAAATCAGGCCCCCGGAGGGCTTCTATCAGGCCCACAGTGGGACTTGGCTGTCTTCTGCTTCTTCTCCCAATTATCCAGTTATCATTATAGGTTTGCAGCTTACAGATACACACCCGAACAGCATACTCAAGATTGCAACGGCACAGACATTTTGATGCAGTAATTCAGAGCAAGAGGTGTCCGTTATCGGACACTGTTAAATAAACAAAATATTGCAAGAGTGCTCATGTTTTAAGCATGTTTTTATATTAAGTTAAAAAACACACCTGTTTGATCTGTTTTATCTGCCGGGTGGTTTCAAAGGGCGTGATCAGACAAGAACAACATCTGGGAAGTGCCCCGCAGCCGTCGATAACCCGTTTTGCTCTGCCGCAGGACTGGAGTAAAAAGAAATCCGGTAGTAAACAGGTTACGACGGGCCCTTACCACCAGTGTTCCCTCTAAGCTGAGTTAGTGTGAGCCATCTCACTTTTTTTTAGCCTCCGGCTTACACGTTTGTGTCTGAGCTCAGGAAGGATGGCTCCAGAGCAAACTCATTGATGCAGTAACCAAATCACCTGCTGACAACTTTAATGCCAGGAGCTCACAGAGTAGAATTTTTGCTCACAGGGCTCCATAGCTTAGAGGGAACATTGCTTACCCCACCACCACCACTGCCCATTTCCCCTGTTGTACTGCTCAACTTTCCACTATTTGCTGCGCAGCCAAATTTTGACCCACATCTCCCCCCCCCCTGATCTCCCCTGCATCTTCTGCCAAAGGAAAACATTTTGAAATTCTACAGATCGCAGTGGGGGAGCTCAACGTATGAAGCAGAGGGAAGGGACCAAGGGGGGCTCAGGAAGGGTCCTTAGAGAGAAGCTGGAAGTAACTGAAGTCAGCTGGGAGAAGAGCCGACTGCAGAGGGCAGAGCCGAGCCGAGCCAGGCACAGGGAAAGTGCAGCTCAAGACCACATCCAAATTCTTCAGAGCAGCGCCGTACTGACTGCAAAGTCACCCCTGAATGGCCAAAAATCTAGGCAGAAGGTACCACAAAATCCGACGATCAAAGGAAGCAAAAGCGGCATGGGGTGTGGAGGCTACCATAAAATCTGATGATCAGAGGAAGTGAAAGCGGCATGCAATGCAGAGGGGATTTCAGAGCAGCGCCGTACTGACTGCAAAGTCACCCCTGAATGGCCAAAAATCTAGGCAGAAGGTACCACAAAATCCGACGATCAAAGGAAGCAAAAGCGGCATGGGGTGTGGAGGCTACCATAAAATCTGATGATCAGAGGAAGTGAAAGCGGCATGCAATGCAGAGGGGGATTTCTGTTCCAGCCGTGGGTTTGCTAAAACAACAGAGGGAAAAGCCAAGGCAGGATCAGCCAGTGACAGACGTCTTGGGGCCCCCTGGCACTCTGACGCAGGAGATCCCTGCGGATTTGCTGCTGGTCATGGAATGGGCGGCCAGTTTGGTGTGGTGGTGAAGTGCGCGGACTCTAATCTGGGAGAACCGGGTTTGATTCCCCACTCCTCCACTCGCAGCTGCTGGATGACCTTGGGCAAGCCATAGTTCTGGCACAGCTGTCCTTGAAAAAGAGACGTTTCTGTCAAGAGCTCTCTCAGCCCCATCTACCTCACAGGGTGTCTGTTGTGGGGAGGGGAAGGGAAAGGAGTTTGTAAGCTGCTCTGAAACTCCTTTGGGTAGTGAAGGGCGGGGTATAAATCCAATCTCTTCTTCTTCTGATGCCAGGTGGGCTACCTGGAGTGGGGGAAGAGCCAGTAGGCTATTCAAGCATCTGTACTGCCTTGGAAGCATACTGAAAAGTGAATGATAAACGCTTCATTCTGCTGCTCTTGGGAACGGGGAAGGGTTAATGGCTGAGGGCCAGGTGCTGGATGTTCCGCTCTTTGGCTCCTTCTTGTGTTGACAGAGAGGCCCAAGGAGGGAAACCCAGTCCACATACTCCAAGATCCGCAGAGAGAGCAGCATGGCAGAATTCACCAGTCGAGAGGTTTACCAGGCAGAGTTTGATCCAAGAAGCTATCTGGAATACTTCCAGTTTGGAGCAGGCACCTTGGGTGATGAAGCCATTGAATTTTACCTGAAACACCTTTGCAAGATCTTTGCTTCAGGTACGTCATCACAACCATGAGGTTTGCATGTACAACGTTGCCTGGGGCGTGAAGAAGATTTAGTGAGGGCATTTTAAGGGAGGCACGGTTATTATTTCATTCAGAAATTGGCTCAGGAATTGACACTGTTGTCTCTAGTTGGCCCTCTTCATCTGCTGTATGAGCCGTAAAAAATGGTTCCATGCAGAAGCGTCACGGTGTCGCAGGGGAGACGTTGGGCTGGATCCTGCACTCTGTCAACAGAAAGCACTTACAGGTGCCAATCTTCCAGGCTTTTCAGGAACCAAAACGCTGAGCAACTAGAAAATAAAACAAAACGCAACTATTTATTACACAGTGCACAGAATCTTAGGATTAAAAATGACATACATAAGGTAGCAATAAGAACTCAGATCATCGTATACAGCAAAAGGATGAAATTGCGCATCCAATAACAGAGAACCACAATCATGGTTACACATGTATATTATCCACAAGAATAACACACAGTCCTAAGACAATCTGGTATGAAAATATATACAGATGTGTGCTAGATGCCCACAGAATAATACAATGACAGAAGAGACTAGATTAAAGCCATAACATCAACTGGCAGAGACTGATCAGGAGAGAGATCTTGGACTCGTAGTAGATAACTCACTGAAAATGTCGAGACAGTGTGTGACTGCAATAAAGAAGGCTGGGGATTATGAGGAAGGGTATTGAAAACAGATCAGCCAATATCATAATGCCCCTATATAAATCAATGGTGCGACCTCATTTGGAATACTGTGTGCAGTTCTGGTCACCACACCTTAAAAAAGATATTATAGCTTTGGGAAAAGTGCAGAAAAGGGCAACTCGAATGATAAAAGGGTTGGAACACTTTCCCTATGAGGAAAGGTTAAGGCGCTTAGGGCTCTTTAGCTTGGAGAAACGACGGCTGAGGGGTGACATGATCGAGGTTTATAAGATTATGCATGGGATAGAGCAGGTAGAGAAAGAGGTACTTTTCACCCTTTCTCATAATACAAGAACTCGTGGGCACTCCATGAAATTGCTGAGCGGTCGAGTTAGAACGGATAAAAGGAAGTACTTCTTCACCCAAAGAGTGATTAACACTTGGAATTCACTGCCACAGGAAGTGGTGGCGGCTACAAGCATGGACAGCTTCAAAAGGGAATTAGATAAGCATATGGAGCAGAGGTCCATCAGTGGCTATTAGCCACAAGGTATAGATAGGGGCTCTGAGGCAAGTGATGCTCTGTCTTGTTGGTGCTGGGGGGGGGTCAACTGTGGGAGGGCTTCTAATGTCCTGGCCCCACTGCTGGACCTCCTGATGGCACTGGTATTTCTGGCTACTGTGTGACACAGAATGTTGGACTGGATGGGCCTTTGGCCGGATCCAACATTGGCGTCTCTTATGTTCTTATTGTGTCTGATAATGAAAAACAAGCACTTATTCCTTCACAGAAAAAATATACAAAGGTCAATAAAATTACACATAGCAGTCTGCTCCAAACTCTCTCAGTCAATATCCTTCTGTGTTCTCAAAAGCAGTCTGCTCCAAATTCACTCTCTCTTTCAACACTTACTCCGGATATTTGTTTCAGACCTCTGGTCTTTCCTCAGGAACCAATCCTATATAGGAATCTCACATTCAATGTTACCTCCAAGTTGACACATTCATTGATTTACTTTTCTGCTAATCTACCTGGGCAAGGTCTCCTCACTTATTTTCAATCATGCTGCTGCTGCCGCCGCCAAAGTCAAATGGACCCACAACCCAGTGGTTGTTTTGCATTAACAGGCACTAAATGATGTTATGGCTTTAATCTAGTCTCTTCTGTCATTATATTATTCTGTGGGCATTTAGCACACATCTGTATGTATTTTCATACCAGACTACACATGTATATTAACCAAAGGACCCAACACGTTTTGGCCATGAGGGCCTTCTTCAGTGGTCAAAATTGTACTCACACACACATAAAACTGTAACTATATCAATATAAAAAATATTTTCCAGGCCAGGTTGGTTGTATATGAGTCACTAAAAAAGTGATGCTCCAAATAATGGTTATAAATCAATTCTGCATAAACGGAGGAGCCTTCACTTATCAGAGATGGATCCAGGTGGTCAACCATATTGGTCTGAAGCAGTAGAAGAAGAGATTGGATTTATACCCCACCCTTCACTACCCAAGTGTCAGCAAGCTGCCAATTGTTCTTCATGTTTCTGTATGCACCTACATACCTGTCTATGCCACTGTAGCGTGTTCTGTATTTCCCGCCCCCCTTACCCAACGTTTGTTCATATACCCATGTGCATATATTCATAGCTGCATTCTTGTTAGTGTACGCCAGGCCTGTCTGCTGTAACGTTATCATCTCCAAGGTCACAGGTGGTTAAGAGATGTGGTGTGCTCTTCTTTGCTTTGCTTTAATGAGTAGAAACCGTGGGAAGTGTTAAGTAATGATAACACAGTTACCGTTGAGTTCCCAGTGATTTTGAGCGCGTAAAACTGCTTTTTAGGCATGGGCGGGAATCATAGCCATTGGCCGCATTTATTATGAAATTGCTTTAACCTCTCCAGCTCAAGTCGTTAGGGGTATTCTGAACAGTCCTTCTGTGCAGTGACTCATGGCTTCAATAAAGTAATACTTTCCTATAAGTGTGTACGCCGTTGACTTCCGGTGGGACCTGACACCAAGGGAGTCTCAGAGCGGCTTACAAACTCCTTTCCCTTCCACTCCCCACAACAGACACCCTGTCAGGTAGGCGGGGCTGAGAGAGCTCTGACAGAAACTGCTCTTTTTCGAGAACAGCTGTGCCAGAACTATGGCTTGCCCAAGGTCATCCAGCAGGTGCGAGTGGAGGAGTAGGGTATCAAACCCGGTTCTCCCAGATTAGAGTCCGCGCACTTAACCACTACACCAAACTGGCTAAAACAAACTTAGAATCCAGTGGTCTTAATGGTGTTGGTCTTAAAGGTGCCACTGGATTCTAAATTTGTTCATCAGAGATGGCAACTAACGCCACCATTCTGTCCTGGGCCGTCGTTAAATTCCCAGTGTGCATTCATGCGCAAACCAGAGACCAAGGGCAGAATGCCAAAGGGGAACATGTGATCCACTCAGAGAGGGTGTGGAGGACTCCCAAGTATTGCTGAATTAGCAAAGAGGGATGTGACTGAAGAGTGAACATTAACCTGTAAAGAGGAACAATTTATATGGCTGCAAACTCCAGGTTGGGGAATTCCTGGACATTTGGGTGTGGTGCCTAGGAAGGGTAGAGTCTGGGAAGGGGAGGGAACTCAACAGAGATCTGATTTCATCGAGTTCCTTATCCATTCCCTCCCCAGGAATGATAATCTGGACATCAAGGGTCATTGTAGGTGATCTTCAGGCCCCACCTGGACGTTGGTAACCTCATTCAGTAATGAGCTAACCCATAAAGAGCCAATAAAGTTGGCTGCAGGTCCTGGAGACTCCAGTTGCTGCTGAGGGGAGTGGTTGGATACAGGCTGGTTCTGCACTTGGCATTCGCTCCACATTTTCTCAACACGAAGAAGGAGAAGGAGGAGGAGGAGGGATTGGCTTGATACCCCTTGCCCTTCACTTGGAGTCTCAGAGTAGCTTACAAACTCCTTTCCCTTCCCCTCCCCACAACAGACACCCTGGGAGGTGGGTGGGGCTGAGAGAGCTCTGACAGAAACTGCTCTTTCAAGGACAGCTCTTGTCAGAAATATGGCTTGCCCAAGGTCATCCAGCAGCTGCAAGTAGAAGCATGGGGAATCAAGCCTGGTTCTCCCAGATTAGAGTCCGCGCACTGAGGAAAAGGTGCCGCTCAAAACCACATTCAAATACCCCGGGGCAATGCCGTGCTGACTGCAGCGTCACCCCTGAACGGCCATGAATCTATGCAGAAAATGCCATAAAACCCGATGATCAAAGAAAGCAAAAGCTGCATGCAGTGTAGAGGGTACCATAAAATCTGATGAGCAAAGGAAGTGAAAGCAGCATGCAGTGCAGAGGGGAATTTCTGTTCCATTGTGGGCTTGGTAAAACAAAGGAGGGAAAAGCCATTGCAGAATCGCCCACAGCCTCTTGGTCTGTTCGCGTCTTCTGCTTGAGTAATGTTGAGACCTGCAGCCCCACCTGCCGAGTCAGGAGCCCCCATAGAGGTGTGACAAGCGAGGGTTGCTGTTTTTTGTATGGATGTGTGCAGAGGAAGAGGGCTACGCTGCCTGTCTCTCCTTAGCAGAAGGACAAGGCAAGCCCACTCAGCAATAGAAGCGGATGCCTCCAGGCAGGGGTCATTTCCTGCAGGAGCGCACAGGAGCAGAGCTTCGGCAGTAAAGAGCCCAGAGGGCGGGCACAGGCAACAAGCCCCACCCCCTGCTCCCAGCAGCCCTCAGTCAAAGCAAGAAGCAGCCAGGTAAGCTGCAGCGCCCCCACCCCGTCCAAAACAGTCCAGTGGCACCTTTTAGACCAGGTTTTATTCAGGTACAAGCTCTCCCTCCTCAGTGAGGACAGATCTGCGTGTTCCCCCCCCCAATAGCTAGCAATCCAAAACAGTCCAGTGGAGCCTGAGCGGTGGGGGTTGCCTTCTGACGCACTTCCGGTGATGGCAGGGGGCGTGGCATATGCAAATAAGTTATGCTAATGAGTTGTGCTGATGAGCTCCTGCACCTCTTTTTCTACGAAATGACCCCTGCCTCCAGGGCTTGTTCTTCTTTATGCAACCCCTCCTGGTACTTGGCTTCTGCTTCTTTTCAGTGGCTCGTGTCACACGGGGGAATTTCCTGAAGATCTGGGAGTGCAGCCTGGGGGGGGGGTTCTTGGATTTAGGGAGGGGAGGAACTTCAGCAGGGTATAATGACAGAGTCCATCCTCCAGGAACAGTCATTTCCTCCAGGGGAACAGATCTCTTTTGCCTGAAGGCCAGTTGTCATTCCAGGAGAGCTCCCCCTGGAGACTGGTGACCCCCCTCCCATGGTCTGCTGGCCAAGGATCTGACCTTGACACGGGTGAGGTCCAGTGTTCCCTCTAAGCTGAGTTGGTGTGAGCTAGCTCACAGATTTTTAGCCTCTGGCTCACAGATTTCTGTCTTCGCTCTGGAAGGAGGGCTCCAGAGCAGACTAATTTATGCAGTGGCCAGATCGCTCGCTCCCGACTTTAATGCCGGTAGCTCACAGAGTAGAATTTTTGCTCACAAGACTCCACAGCTTAGAGGGAGCATTGGTACCTTGGCAAAAGACCGCGATGCCAGCCCCTTGGTGGCTGCCATCTTTCTCGCCATGCCGATGGAGGACTTTTTATGGCTTAAAAAAGAACAGCAGCCTGGTAACTGCTGTCGGACCAAAGTGCCGAGAAGACACAAAGGCTGTTTTGAAACGAAAGCTGCAGATTCAGAGGGACTGGCGGCAGACTGCAAGTGGGGATGACTCTAATTGTATTGGGCTGTGGAGCGACAGCAGTTACTGATTTTTCGAAAAGCCCCTCTGGTGGTGATGGGGGCAAGGGAACATGGGGGCAGGTTGAGGGAAGTGCGCATAAAACCCCGGCTTGGATGCTTCACTGCCAGCGTGAATGCCACCTCATTCATGATGGTGGTGATGAGAGGGCATCCAAGGATCCTTGCTGTGGTGGTGTGGGCGTTGTCACAAATCACCTGCTTGGGTTTCCTGTGACCTTCCTGGAAAAAACCTACATGTTGCTGACGCCCTAAACAGCTTTCTGCTCACATTAGTTCAGCTGTTTGCAGAGTTCCACGTGAGTTGTTGCAGAACAGACAGATTGGAGTCCAGGAGCGCCTTATGGACCAACAAGACTTCCGGACACTCAAAGCTCTCTTCATCAGATACCACAACTTTGATGCTTGAACACACATACGCACAGCCTAAAAAATCTTTCTGGTTTCTAAGGCGCTACTGGACTCGAATCTTGATCTCCTACTGAAGCCGAACACGGGCCAGTTTGGAGTAGTGGTTAAGTGCGCGGACTCTAATCTGGGAGAACCGGGTTTGATCCCCCACTCCTCCACTTGCAGCTGCCGGATGACTTTGGGCAAGCCATAGTTTTGTCCGAGCTGTCCTTGAAAAAAGAGCAGTTTCTGTCAGAGCTCTCTCAGCCCCACCCACCTCCCAGGGTGGGGAGGGGTATAGAAAGGAGTTTGTAAGTCGCTCTGAAACGCCAACTGAAGGGCAGGGTAATCCTCCCCCTCCTGCTCCTCCTCCTCCTCCTCTTCTTCTTCTCCCTCTGAAACTAATTGTTGAAGAGACTGGCCATGCCTTGCAAAAGCCCCCCCCCCTCCACTCCCTTCCGTGCCCTGATGAATCCTCCGTGGGCTTCTGGCCAGGCTTGAGTCTCTGTCCCTCTCCTTTTAGACATGAACTGTCAGCCAGTTACTGGGGATTCAGTTGTTATGCCAGAGAGCAGCAGGAGGAGGCCGCGTGTGCCAAGAGTTCGAACTGTGCAGGAAGAGGGTTGCCAGCAGCCCTGCAGAAAATATGTCCTGCTCCTCTAACAGAGGCTGACTACACCTGAAGCTGCCTTCTACTGAACCAGACCTTTGGTCCAGCAAGGCCAGTATTGTCTCTCCAGGGTCTCATGCAGAGAGGTCTATCCCATCACCTCCTGCCCAGTGCTTTAAACCGGAGGTGCTGTTGCTGGGGATAGAACCTGGGACCTTCTGCATGACCAAGCAGATGCTCTGCTGCTGAGCCATGGCCCTTCCCCTTAAGGGGAGGTTGTTTACCAGTTGATGTTCCTTGCGTCCATTCTTGACCTGCCCTTACTTCTTTCCCACCAGGGCGCCTGAAAGGGGACACCCTGATCGACCTGGCCAGTGGGCCCACCATCCACCAGTTCCTCTCTGCCTGTGAGTCCTTTGGGAGCATCGTCGCCTCCGATCCCGTTGAGAGGAACCGCCGGGAAATCGAGATGTGGCTGAAGAACAAACCGGGAGCCTTTGACTGGACCCCAGTGGTGAAGTATGTGTGCGAGCTGGAAGGAAACAGGTACGGCAGCTCAAGGAAGGCGCATTCCCAACCCTGCCCCACCCCTCGCCCTTCACCCACTGACATCCTTTACTCGGATCCGCTGCCAGCTGCCGAAGGTGGAGCCAATTGCTTAAACTGCTGTGATGTCACGGAATGTTTGCAGTCATTCTTGCCGCTGGGGATGAGGAATATTGCTGAGCATGGAATGATGGGACCAGTGTTCCCTCTAAGCTGAGTTCGTGTGAGCTAGCTCACAGTTTTTTAGCCTCCAGCTCACACGTTTTTGCCTTAGCTCAGGAAGGGTGGCTCCAGAGCAAACTAATTTAGGCAGTAGCCCAATTGCTCGCTCATAACTTTAATGCCAGTAGCTCACCAAGTAGCATTTTTGCTCATAAGACTCCACAGCTTAGAGGGAACATTGGATGGAACCCATTGCATCTTTGGGGAGGGCATGGAAAGGTCAACTTGATTAGACGCTCACACTGGATTTAGGAACACATGGGGCTGTGGAGGCGGACTGGCCCGTGAGATGTCCTGTGAGATGTACAGAAAACAGGCAAAGCATCTTGCAACATAGGTAAAGGTTCCCTTGCTCGAAAGCCAGTCGAGTCCGACTCTAGGGTTGCGGTGCTCATCTCCGTTTCAAAGCCGAAGAGCCAGTGCTGTCCGAAGACGTTTCCGTGGTCATGTGGCCGGCATGACTAAACACCAAGGCACACGGAACGCTGTTACCTTCCCACCAAAGTGGTCCCTATTTATCTACTTGCAATTTCTTGCTTTCGAACTGCTAGGTTGGCAGGAGCTGGAACTAGAGACAGGAGCTCACCCCGTCTTGCGGCACCCGGGTCTCGAACTGCTGAACTACTGACCTTCCACAGCCTGCAGTTCAGCGTCTTAAAGGAAGGAGCATAAACTCTCTGTGCACCTAAACATTTTTATCCTGCTGTTGTAGATTTCCCGGGTTGTCTGGCCGTGGTCTTGGCATTGTAACCATGAAAGCCTTCGACAACACATTTTTATCCTGTGTTCCCTTCAAGTAGCTTGGGCCTGCAGACATAGTTCTTTCCTTCTGTTTGTTCTCCCAACAGCCCTGTGAGAGAGGTCAGGTGGAAGGAGCAGGGGCGGATGAAGGCTCACTGGTGCCCTAAGCACTGACCAACCGTGGTGCCCCCAATCTTGATGTCATAGCCTATGACACTGCACCTTGCCAACAAAAAATAGAAGATAACCCTAGGGTGCACCAGGATCAATGTGCACTCGTTTTATCATTTATTTATTTTTACAAATCTTCATTCCCCCCCCCTTTCACCCTTTCCCCAACTTTGTGGTGCCCCCTTTGGCCCTGGTGCCCAAAGCACGTACTTAGTCTGCTTAAGGGTTAATCTGCCCCTGGGAAGGAGTGACCCAAGGTCATGGCTGAGAGGGAATCAGAACCCAAGCCTCTCTTGTCATCGTTCGACACCCTCCCCACAACACCGCATTGGTTCACCCCCTGCTAGGGATGCCAGCCTCCAGGCAGGACCTGGGGATCCCCTGGAATGACAATGACAGCTCATCTCTAGAGTGCAGGGGTCAGTTCCCCTGGGGAAAATGGATGCTTTGGAGGGTGGACTCTGCGTCATGGCGCCCCACTGAGGTCCCTCTCCTTCCCAGGCTCCACCCCCAGGACTCCCAGAACTCCCCAACCCGGAGTTAGCAACCCAGCCCCTCCCCGGCCCCATCCCTGGCTGTGCCTCAAGCCGCTCTGAAAAGCCCAGTTGGGAGCAGCTAGCTGAAAAGTCGGCTCCTGATGACCTCTGCTCACGTCTGCGCCCGCTGCCCTCTGTTCCAGTAAGCCTCAGTGAACTTTTGAATGCCAGTCTTGTTCTGCCACTGGAAAAAAACAGCCTGCTAGAACTCCCAGAGCAAACTCCAAAGGGGATCCAGAACAAGAAGTGGGAGGCACAGGCCAAAGGCTCCAAGTAGGTTTAAGTGGCTGGATTGCGTTCTCTCCGGAGTAGGTTCTCACCACATCTCCCCGCCTGCAATGCCAGAGACTCGCCGGGTCATCTCTTTGCTTTTCATTCCCTGCAGGGACAAATGGGCTGAGAAGGAGGCGAAGGTGAGGAGGACCATCCAGCAGGTCCTCTACTGTGACGTCCTGCAGAGCAACCCACTGGCTCCGGTCAGCCTGCCCCCGGCGGACTGCGTGCTGGCTGTGGAGTGCCTGGAGGCGGCTTGCAAAGATCTTGACACCCTGCGAGCCGCCCTGAAGAACATCAGTTCCCTGCTGAAGCTCGGGGGAGCCCTGGTGCTTGAAGGGATCCTGGGGTGCAGTTTCTACATCGTGGGCTCTCGTAAGTTCTCCAGCTTGGTCCTGACCGAGAAGTCCCTGAGGGATGCTCTCCACGCAGCCGGGTTTGCCGTTGTCGAGTATGAGGCAGAGCCCAGGTTTGACAAGGATATGTTAGACGCCTGTGATTTCTCCGATAAATATTTCCTCCTTGCCCGCAAGGAGAAAGAGGCCTAAAGCGGCCAAAGAGCAAAGGGGGTGCCCACGTTAGCCTTAGAGCTGAGGAGGCCCAAGATCCACGGCCATCTCTGCCGTTGGCTCATCGTGCGGCCTTGGCTAAATCGCTTACCTTTCAGCCTCGGTTCTCTAACCTGTAAGAATGAAAATCATAGCTTAGGATGCTGGGAAGGCAAAAAAAAAAAAAGCCTGTAGAGGTCACTCCAGAGGAGCGGTGGTGGTTTTATCTCAGATATGCGTTAGCAAAGCTATTTCACATCCATCGCAAGTAGCACACCTGGACCAATTACCTGCCATTGAATCAATAAAACATCTAGGCGAGGCTGGAAATCTTAGCATGGGCCCAGATTTATAATAACTGCTCCGCTCTTTCCACATAGAAAATCACCACATGCTTTTTCAGGGGACTCAAGTGGACTGGTGTGCATCATAAAAGGTAAAGGTAAAGGTTCCCTTGCTCGAAAGCCAGTCGAATCCGACTCTAGGGTTGCGGTGCTCATCTCCGTTTCAAAGCCGAAGAGCCAGCGCTGTCCGAAGACGTTTCCGTGGTCATGTGGCCGGCATGACTAAACACCAAGGCGCACGGAACGCTGTTACCTTCCCACCGAAGTGGTCCCTATTTATCTACTTGCAATTTCTTGCTTTCGAACTGCTAGGTTGGCAGGAGCTGGCTGGTGTGCATCATAGGCTGCTGCCAAAAGGAGGTTCGGGGCCAGTTGGGCACCTAAATTGCAGCAGGCTTTTTTTCGAGCATCTACATGATGTCATCTCTGAATCATCCCTTTATGAAGTTACTCCCCCCCCCCCCCCCACCCCCTTCGCTTTTTCCTC